TAGGAAATTAATTAATTGCAAAGAATGGCAGATGAAAGTGATGGACTATATGACACTGGCTGAGATGACTGGCAGAATCCGTGATCAGAGGAAAGAGACGGCGGAAGAGGACTGGAAGAAATTTAAAATTTATCTTAAGAACTATTATAAAATTGAGGAACTCTAAAATGCTGAGGTGTTGAGAGAAAAAGGGATACAGTGACATAAGATAAAGTTAAAGAAAGGACTAAGAGGACATATATTTTATAAAATTGATAGAAGCTGCTGAAATAATATTGTAAATTGGGATGCAGAAAGGGGAGGTATGGGGGAGTCCAAGAAAGGAGGATTATGGAAAAAAGGTTATGAAACTATACATGTTTGTTTGTCTTTTTATTTGTTTGTATTGTCTAAAAAATGTTGTAAAACCAATAAAAATTTATTAAAAAAAAGGAAATTAATAAATTGCAGATTATTTGGGATATGAAGGAAGAAATGCCAGCTGCAGAGGAATTCCGGGGCTATCGTGTGCAAAAGGACCTGGCCAAGCTAGGGCCATTAAGAAACCGCCACGTCTTCAATTCTCCAAAGGAGCACAGGCCCTAATAATAATAATTTATACCCTGCCCATCTGGCTGGGTTTCCCCAGCCACTTTGGGCAGCTTCCAACAAAAATTAAAAATGCATTAAAACGTCAGTCATTAAAAACTTCCCTAAACAGGGTTGCCTTCAGATGTCTTCTAAACGTCAGATAGTTGTTTATTTCTTTGACATCTGGTGGGAGGGCGTTACACAGGGCGGGCGCCACCACCGAGAAGGCCCTCTGCCTGGTTCCCTGTAGCTTTGCTTCTCGCAATGAGGGAACCACCAGAAGGCCCTCGGCGCTGGACCTGAGTGTCCGGGATGAATGATGGGGGTGGAGACACTCCTTCAGGGATACTGGACCGAGGCCGTTTAGGGCTTTCAAGATCAGCACCAACACTTTGAATTGTGCTAGGAAACGTACTGGGAGCCAGTGTAGGTCTTTCAAGACCAGTGTTATGTGGTCTCGGCGGCCGCTCCCAGTCGCCAGTCTAGCTGCCGCATTCTGGATTAGTTGTAGTTTCTGGATCACCTTCAAAGGTAGCCCCACGTAGAACGCATTGCAGTAGTCCAAGAGGGAGATAACCAGAGCATGCACCACTCTGGCGAGATAGTCTGTGGGCAGGGAGGGTCTCATCCTGCGTACCAGATGGAGCTGAGGGTCAAGACATCTGGGGGTCCTGTGCAGGGCTCAGCAGGGACTGGGGTGGCCTGTAGAAGGAGGGTGTTCCTGGCCGTCGTGCAATTTGATCCCTGAGACCCCTGAAATATCTGAGCAGCCTCTTACCCCGGGGATGTGCTTCCGCGTGAGCCGGTTTGGCTTCCGCGTGAGGGATCTCTCTCGTTCCCTCCCCAGCTCAACCTCTCGGACGCTGTCGAAGTAGGGGTGCTGCAGGAGTTGCTCACAAGTAAGCCTTTCCGCAGGATCCATGTGGAGGCAGCCCTGTGATAAGGGAAAAAAGCAAAGAGTCTGGAGGATGCAGACACAAACCAAGCGTGACTCAGTGGCAACCGCGCCTGCTTCCCCGCAAAGAAGGTTCTGGGTTCAATTCCGGCCTGGGAATGTTGGCTGCCTGAATTCCCAGGCATTGCTGAGGCAGATGGACTAATCACATCTCCCAATATAAGGCAGCTTCCTATGTTAAGAACGTAAGAACAGCCCTGCAGGGTCAGACCAGTGGCCCACCACCTGAAATCCTGATCTCACCTTGGCCAACCAGATGCCACAATGATGTAATAAACAAAAATCTGCCCTTATTCCCTTATGGGGGACACAAGAGCCCTTATAGAGTCCTTTGTAGGTTCTCCATCGGTCAGAGAAAATAACAGAGGCCAACCAGAGAAGATTGAGAAGCAAAGCAGCTTGTGAGCTTGATCTTTATTGAACTGTTGCAACAGGGTGCCTCCTTCAGAAGCAGGAGAAGGAAGAGGACCCAGAACCCAGGTGTGTCTGCCCTTATATAGATATTTTAAATTGCCCGCCCTGGAGTCCAAGACCACCCCCAGAAACATCATACATACATCACAGAAGGGGTGTAGCCCAAGACCACCCCCCAGATACATCATACCTACATCACAGAAAAGGTGGTCTACAGCAGAAATCTGAGTGCATTGTTTATCTCCTTTCTGGCATTTTACCTGTTAATGGCCTTTTCCATTTTCCTTCGACCTTGCAGAGAAATATATGAGGTCAATTTGGGAGGGACAAAATGGTTTCAGGACTTTTTCTGTGGGGTTTCAGACATGTGGTTTAGATATGCAGTTATGAACATTATATATATATATATATATATATATATATATATATATATATATATGACCTTACATTTTTTTATTCGGAAGGCTTGTAGAGGTTTGCAGAGCTGACAAAAAGAGGGGAGGGAAACAGCCCATGGGTTCACACACAAAAAACCTCAAACCCAGCAGTACTTAGTGGGCATAGAATGTGAGCTGACTTTGGGGGAGAAGGGAGAGGGAAATTGGGAGACGATTGAAATGGAGCGGCCGAGCAGAAACACTCCGCTCTGTGAATGCTTCGTTGCAAGTTCCACTTGTTTACTCCCCTTTCCTGGTTTGCTTATATAAAAAAGAAATGGGAAAAAGACTGCCGAGGGCTTGGTCAATCATCAACTTAATTGCAAGCTGGCAGCGGAACTGGCGTGCAAAGCAGCGAGTTCCAAATGGCCCTCTCCAATGAGTGTTAGGCAAATGAAATGGAAATGGATGGTTAAACTTGCTAAACTGGGTTTCGGTAAAGAAGGTTAAGCAGGGATGAAGGGAAAAGAGCCAACTCAAAATGTTAGTGCATTTTAATGTGGATGGTAAACCTGAAATCTCGTCCTGCTGTTGGGGACGGAATCTGGGACTTTCTGTATGCAAAGCAGCCTGTAGAAGCCTGGCCCAGCCTCAAAAAACCACGGTATGTGCTCACCTTCATGAGTCCGAGAGCCGAGTAGGAAATGCCTGGGAATTTCATTTCTAGAGGCTCCTGGGGGGAAAGGAGGACAAAATAATGAGCATCATTGGCTTAAACATTCCCTCCCCCCTTTCATGTTTTTTTTCCCACTTCAAAAAACCTGAATACAGTGGTGCCCCGCAAGACGAAAGCCTCGCAAGACGAAAAACTCGCTAGACGAAAGGGTTTTCCGTTTTTCGATGCGCTTCGCTAGACGAATTTCCCTATGGGCTTGCTTCACAAAACAAAAAAGTCTTGCGAGTCTTGCGATTTTTTTCGCTCCCCCCCTTTTTCTAAGCCGCTAATAGCCTTTTAGCCGCTAAGCCGCTAAGCCTTTAATAGCCGCTAAACCGCTAATAGCGCTAAGCCGCTAATAGGGTTGCTTCGCAAGACGAAAAAACCGCTAGACGAAGAGACTCGCGGAATGGATTAATTTCGTCTTGCGAGGCACCACTGTAATAATAATAATAATACCATATTTTTTGCTCTATAAGACTCACTTTTTCCCTCCTAAAAAGTAAGGGGAAATGTGTGTGCGTCTTATGGGGTGAATGCAGGCTGCGCAGCTATCCCAGAAGCCTGAACAGCAAGAGGGATTGCTGCTTTCACTGCGCAGCGATCCCTCTTGCTGTTCTGGCTTCTGAGATTCAGAATATTTTTTTTCTTGTTTTCCTCCTCCAAAAACTAGGTGCATCTTGTGGACTGGTGCGTCTTATACAGCGAAAAATATGGTAATAATAACTTTATTTATATCCCGCCCTCCCCAGCCAAAGCTGGGCTCAGAGCGGCTATAGTTCTATATTTGAAGAAGAACTCGCTCCCTGGACAGGTCAGAAAGCAGACGCGCCAATCTTGCCCCTTTGGACCTGGAGACCTTCAATTTTCTTCTCCGTTTCCAAGAGTGATCCTTCCCTCCCAACCACTGAAATGCGGGCGCAGACGTCCCAATTGCCAGCGTCTACGTGTCTCCGAAACCACATCCAGGAGCCAGTCATTCCATTGAGCTGGTCACTAGTTCCCAGACAATGGGCCTCATCTCCAAGCAGCCGAAAACAAAAAAGCAATCCTTTGCCTGGAGACCCAAAAAGGCCTTAAAAACCTAGGAAGCGGAGGAGCCTCCTGTGTCTTGTTTGCAACAGGACTTGTGCAAGGCTGGGGGGGGGGTGGCTTTCTCACCATGCTTTCTGGGTCTGGAACTCTCACCCCGCTGAAGAACTGGTTTGTGCTGAAGACTTGCTGGTGCCTGGGAATGAGGTCCCCTTTGGAGAAGAAGGAAAGAAGCACACTTAAATCCGCATTTGTTCTGCATTTGTAATATCTCAGTCTTTTAGTGTGGCACTAACACACACAAGGACACAAATATTGAATTAATGTTATTGGGCAAATTTTGGCCACAGCTTTATTGATTACAGAATGTGAGCGGCATTGGCTTAGGCATTGAATGGACCCGGCTATATCTGACTCCTGACTCCTGCGCAGGGGAGTCCGGTAAGGGTCAACCACCGGAAGGGGGAGCCCCATCGATGCAGACCAACTCAAGCTCTCCCTGCTGTTCCCGTCGGGGGTCGTGTCATGGCCCTAGCCCTCGACCCGGGCTTCGGACAAGATCCACACCCCTGGATTCCTTTAATGGAATACCCTTAAGCTTGGAGGGGCAGGTGATGGCCACACCTCCCCTCCCACATCACAAGGTCAAACAATGCCTAACCGCAACCCTAACAAAGTTGTGACGATTGCTACGAGGCAGGCGAAAACCAAGTGGCCAGTGCCAATTTGCCAAGTGGAAACATTTGTACCAGGCCCCTCAATGGCGACCAACCAAGGTCCATAGCAAGGCCAATGACTAAAACCTGCAAAATAGAGAAGGAGGGTGGGAGATTGAGGAAGCGAGCCAAAGAAGAAGCCCTCCAGCTTGCGCCTCTGATTAAATGGCCCTGGCCACGCCCCCTGTCCAGCTGATTGGCTGGCCGGTCGCAGACGCGGCCAAGATCCCCCGGGCAACACGGGACTATGTCCCCCACCCCCGGAGGAGAGTGGGTGGCCACACGGTCCACCACAACTCCTCCCCATTGCTGTGCTGATGTCCTTGGATGGAGAACCCAGCCTCCTTCCTCTCAGCAGCTGCCAAAGCCTTCTTTGTGAAATCACTGCCTTCTTAGCAATTTGGAGTTTTCAACAGTGCAAGGCCTAATGTGCGGACTGAAGTTGGGGATCAGAGGTGGCTTCTCCATCTCCAAGGACATCAGCAAAGCAATGGGGGAGTTGTGGTGGACCGTGTGGGCCACCCACTCTCCTCCGGGGGTGGGGGACTAGTCCCGTGTTCCCGGGGGATCTTGGCCGCGTTCTGCGACCGCCAGCCAATCAAGGCTGGACAGGGGCGTGGCCCAGGGCCATTTAATCAGAGGCGCAAGCTGAGGGCTTCTCTGGCTCGCTTCCTCAATCTCCCACCCTCCTTCTCTAATTTTGGCAGGTTTTAGTCAATTGGCTTGCCTATGGACCTTGGTTGGTCGCCATTGAGGGGCCTGGTACAAATGTTTCCACTTGGCAAATTGGCACTGGCCACTGGTTTTCGACTGCCTCGTAGCATCGTCACAACTTTGTAGGTTGGCGGTTAGGCATTGTTTGACCTTGTGATGTGGGGAGGGAGGTGTGCCAATCACCTGCCCCTCCAAGCTTAAGGGTATGCCATTAAAGGAATCCAGGGGTGTGGATCTGTCCGAAGCCCGGGTCGAGTGGCTAGGGCCATGACCGACCCCGCGACGGGAACAGCAGGGAGAGCTTGAGTTGGTCTGCAATCGAATGGGGCCTCCCCCTTCCGTGGTTGAACCCTTACCGGACTCCCTGCCAGGAGTCAGGGAGTCAGATATAGCCGGTCGCATTCAATGCTAAGCCAATGCCGCTCACATTCTGTAATCAATAAAAGCTGTGGCCAAAAATTTGCCCAATAACATTAATTCAATATTGTGTCCTTGTGTGGTGTTAGTGCCACACTAAAAGACTGAGATATTACAAATGCAGAACAAAATGCGGATTTAAGTGTGCTTCTTT